AATCTACACTTTTGATGTATCCCTAGCCTAGAATCTACACTTAGATGTATCCCTAGGCTAGAATCTACACTTTGTATGTATCCCTAGCCTAGAATCTATGCTTTTGATGTATCCCTAGCCTAGAATCTACGCTTTTGATGTATCCCTAGCCTAGAATCTACGCCTTTGATGTATCCCTAGCCTAGAATTTTAGATTTTTCGTTTTGCTCACTTTTGATTGACTAGCAGCCATCTTTGTCCCATAAATTAGTTAAACATGTCAACAACCATTTCTCATTAAAACTTATAGATGACATCCCCCATGAGTAAATTGTTCAAACATTTAGTCAAACAGCAAATGACATGACAGACATGGATGTACGCGATTTCTCAAAAAGTCGGAGACACAAATCGCGTATAAATAGATGACAAACATTTAATTTGTCGTAATTTGAGTCAAAATGATTCATTTCTGACACTCAAGTTCATTTGAATTTTGTACAAAGGCAAAATATAATGAGTTTCATATTCATGTTCATGGCATTTCCTTGACTTCTATGTCTGTTTTTGTCCACAAATGTAATTTAACCCAAATAAAAACAGGGACTATTGAGAATTTTGGTCAAATTATTGTTGTCAAATTAGTGTTATGAACATTGAACACAAGTTTTCTGACTTCACAAACTTGACTGAAGTGCTACCTGAAGACCAGCAAAGGTATATACTACTAAAGAAAACTTGAAGGGCTGGGCGAGACATCACATTTAGCCGTGACATTAGACTTGAATTCTAGTTGGTATACCATTATGCACCGCCTTTATGCATGTACTGTCTGTATTCTTTGCTTGTTCCTTTTTGTAGCAAGTAGGACACCACCATTTTCCATTCTTAATAAAGCCCACTGTTTGCATGCAAACAAACTAGACATTTCACTAGTTCAAATGTAACAGACTTTATCAATATTGATGCTATAGTGCAACACTGCCTGTCAAGTTGCTTAAAAGGCGGTAGTCGTCAACAAAGACTTTGACTGTTGTGCAGATCAACGAATACAAACTGATACATTTCCAAGCTTTAATTTGATAAATAGTAAAGGAGTAAACGGCGGTAATCAGTGCACGTCGCACCCAAGTCAAACCTCATATTTGTGATTCCCATTAGAAGAGGGCATTGGATTGTGGGAAAATCAATGTTTATCAACACAAATGTCACACATTTGAGGCGCGCTTTAAATTAAAATTAGAGTTATTAAATTTACAAATTTATGTTGCCCGTAACTTTAAATAATTAGTATAATTATAATTAATTAGTTTTAGCAACTAAATGTGGACGTTCAATAACAAAAATGTATATCTGCCCTAACTCGAAGTTCTGTTAACTGTTAAATTGAATATCAAGTTACAGTTTGGGCATGGTTTCTAAAATATGGGTGTGCTTATTTTTGCAACTCGATGTTCATAACTTGTTCGTAACTTCTATTAAGCATCTTGCATTGAGTACTGCTGGTTGTGTTTTCATTCACAGTAAAGCCATTTGCTGTGCTGAGTGACAAATGAAACGGCTTTATATTCACTTCAACTTTAGAGGGCAAAGAAAATCTCTGCTTCAGAATGACCACACCCTGTGATTGGGGAAGCAGAGATGACGTCTGGTAGCCAAGAAAACTAGAACAAATCACAAGAACTTGGACAAATCAGAATGCCAGTACCATTAAAATACTGTTCTTTTGTAGCTTTGTACCTATCACACTTTAGATGCAAACCTGCTAATTTTGTAAACCGATTAGACTGCCATCAGTATACTGCCCTTGATAGTAGTCGTTTGAAATGCAAGTGGCAGTGACATCATGGCATTGAACACACACACACACACACACTGGTAACAATAGCTTTTCCCAAATTTATTATTCAATTTAATTTTGCTGTGAGAAAAAAAAGAACAGCACTTTCACAGTGAATCCAAAATAAAAAAAAAATAAAATAAAAATAAACACCTTGTTGATGATATCATTGACATTTGTGAAGCTGCTAAAGTAACACAAACATTTGAACATGAAAAAAAAACAAAAAAAGGACTACAAACAAATGCCGATATGCTTGTGTACCTCTCTTCAAAATACAATTATTGTACCTCTCAGAAAATACAATTTTTGATGTTATATGCACCTGTCATTTCTTGAAAATTCTTTGCATGTATTTAGAAGTACCAGTCAAATGGCTCACGTCAGGTGGTTGATCAAGATGAACTTCAAACTTCATACATATAGAGAATAATTACATATGCTGTCAAGTCAATGAGCGTGATAATTTTCACATTTCGGTACTTGTTAAAGAAGCAATGACACGTTGGCAGAAATTGAAAAACAACCATGCTGTTCCAATCAATCAATCAATCGATAGACATTGATTACAGCTGAACTAAACTCACAAAACTAAAAGTAATTTAATTTTAACACAGATCAAAAAAAAAAAAATTAAAACAAAAAAACTTTAGATTGGGATTCAACAATCATCCACCAACATCCCAGGTGCAAGTAAATAGCTAACTTTGAAGCCATGAGTTATGTAAAAAGTTGGCAATTGCCAATTGGTTCAGAAACACAGAAGTACACAGTTCCTAGATTTCTAGACTGTTAAATAATTTAATGGCTACAACCAATGTTATAAACATGAGAAAACTAAATTAATAACACATACTACCTAGATTTACAGTCATCAATAACCAATTCATTTGTGTTTCAACTAATAACTACAGTATTTTTGTTTACGATATCTCCACCTACAGCAACAGTATTGCATATTACGAAATGACACACAGAAATATGTCGGGTAAGTTTTTTTTTTTTAAGTTTCCAAATTACGTGTCAATGTTAAGTGTACAAAGAAAATGGAAATAAAGCAGGACTTACACTCATTAGAAATTTGATGTACTTTTTGAATTCTACTGTATTAGAGATTCGCTTTTAATAGAGCAAACGCACAAATCTGAGTACTTGAATATTAATAACAAATTAGTGACAACTCTCCGAAATGCTATAAAGCATTCAAACATTTGCTTTACAATCAACTTACTGGATAAAAAAAAAAAACAGGACAGATGACTGTATTACAATCAAGTATTATCCAAGAGACCTAGTCTACGATCTGGTGCCTCCAGAGGGCGCAACTACCTACTGAACTGTCAATAAAACAACAGTGTAGAATAGAAGAAACACTTTAATCCACTCTAATCGAGACTGATCTGTACACAGAATTTCCAAAATCCATGGATTCTCATAGACTTAACACTGACACATATTTATCTATATATAGAACAATACTATTAAAAACCCAAACAAAACAATATTTTTTAATTATTCAGGCCAATTATTACAGAAATAAGCAATGAAAGGCTTGCTAGCATTTGTAAAAATACAATTGAAAATAAAAACAAATTATAAATAATTAACATTGATCCTCTCGATATCGCCTGTGCAGAGCCTACTTTCTACACGTTACTATGGTTACTTATAATATTACAAAAAAGTCTGACATGGGCTTTGTATATTTCCACCTATTGTTAAGGAGAGCCAATACAATAACTTGCATATAATCATAAAGACCTGAGAGTTCTGAAGTGAGGTTTTCCACCAACAGGACTTTTTGTAGTTGTTGAGTTCCTTGTTCTGCGATAGTTTTGATGTCATGCCTTTCATATTTTAGTTCAATTAGTTCGTCTCTTCTCTAATTAAAGCCAAATACTCAAATACCAAAAAAAAAAAAAAAAAAAAAATTGAAAACAATGGTGTTTTGATCTTAGGGAAATTTCAAAGCTAGCACAAACTATTTGGCACTATCTCTAGAAACTTTTCTTCAAATTGAAAACTGAACTGATCCAGGATATGTTAAATAATAAAATTAACAAACCGAAATCAATGGATGTGGGAAACTACTTTTTATAGCGAGTCTTAAATTGAAAGAAAATATTTGTAGAACATATGTCTTGTATAACCCAAACCAGCAGCTGCCAATGCAGGAGCTGAGTGATTATTATTACATAAGTGATCTGATAAGAAAACATTGTTGTAAACAAAGAGCAACATTTTCTCTTGATACAAATTAAGGGCTGACCATTTGAGATTAAGGGGGATGTTTTCACATACACATGTATCCAGTTGACACTTCTGTTCAAAATAGCAATACAGGTATTTCCATACCCTATTATAAAGAACTCGCTGGCAGCTGACTCCTTAAGTTCATTATTGGTTTCAAGGGTAAATTTTACTCAGCAGTATTATCACTGATACGGTTAACAAAACTTTGCTGATTTGAAAAATCTTTCTTACTTTTTGCCTTCACCCTTAAATTACTATCACTTATAGGCAAACATGCATCACTTCAAAACTCCCGGCTGTACAAGTGACAACATTTTTTGTTTGTTTGATTTTTTTAAAAATCCTGGCAGATTGCCAAGGACTTGGTAACTACACTATGATGGCAATATTATTATTTAGTAGAAGTGGAGATATTTAACAATCTAAGAAATTGGCAGCCATCAATAATTCCAGCGCAATTTCCGGAGCAATTGGAAACTCTGGTATCTCTGTTGAACTGTTGGTATAGCGCACCTTGTACGTGAAATACATACACACTTTACATAGCACATGAGAACTGCAGGAAAAAAAGATTAATAAGGTTAGGTTGAAAATTATAATGATCTGACCTCGTAGCAGGTGACATACATAAGTAAATTTTTTTTTTTTACAGCTATGACCTTCACACAAATATTTTATCTGATTTCCTTGTTGATTTTTGGTCAGACTGGCATTACCAACAGTTAGCATATGGCTCATACTGCTTTATATCCGATACATCAAAAGATCCAGACAAAATAAACATGACAAGTACAAAGTACAAAGCAGTTTTACTACTACATCAGTGTTTTCTCCAGATTTCAAAAACATTTAGGGAGATTGGTGCCCTTTGTTGAAAAAAAAAGGAAGAAAGATTGTGAAAATTAGGGGACTTTTTCACTCAACCTTCAGGTTGAAAAAAAAAAACATGTTTTTTTTAATGACTACTGCTACAGTGTTCATATTTTTTTTCTCCAATGCTTTCTCACCAATGAACTGTGAGTGGTGGCTTCTCAATAAATAAATGGTTAACAAGTACATGCACCTTTCTCTAACCTACAAAAAATTGAAATTGTACAACGTGCATGTGCATGTGCAGTCAGCAATATCAACACGAATAACCCTCCCAACAGTATTTTATGACAATCACTATTGTTTGTTTCTAGGTAACAGTATCAATACAAGGGTGTGTTGTCAACATTCAAATTCAAAATTAGCCAAACCCAATTTTGATCCCCACATGCACAAACACATTTAGAAATTAGACACATTTATCATATATTTCAGAGTGCCAACATGAATGAATTGTGTAAATCACACAATTGCTTACAGTATATTAGAGAAAACTTGGCTACATTAGACAATTACAAGCATGATATGGTAACTGACAGTGTCTTTATACTCAGTATACTGTAAACCACGTAAATTTTACAAGAATCAAATTTCAACAAGTTCTTGGGTGAAAATTTGTAGCACTGAAAATTTTACAAATTGCAAATAATTATCAAAAATCCTAGCAGGCAAAATTAAGCATTTCAGAGTATGTCATGCATTTGTAATATTTGATTTAAAATCCCACACTTACGGTATTTCTCTGAAGTTTACTTCATTCGTTTCATTCTCAGCAAATTGACCTATGGTTTGAATGAAACACAAACATAATGAGTAAAAGATTCAATGTATTCAAAACATTTCCGCACTGCATCCCACAAACCTGGTCATCTCAAGTCCTGGTGAACAAGTCATTGAAAATGACACAGTCCCCGTTAAGTTCTCTTTGTGCTCGTCATATTAAAGCGGAGGGGTTGTCGCGAGCATGTCCTTGAAACTTGAGTTCCAAGTGGCGTATACAACAGATTGTTTATTTACATCAAAACACGTGTTTCGTGTCATAGTAATATGGCCAAAATAAAAACAGTCGTTATTCAGCCATCTTTGATCTGATTATGAAACACACTGATATGTATGATGTGTGTGCCAAATACGAATGAAAATGGTACATAAATTGTGGAAATATAGTAGTAAGGCCAAAAAGTCAGATGGCTGTCAATCGGCCATCCTTGACCAGATTTTGAAACGAATTGTCATGGACATGCATCCTAACATGTATAAAGTACATGTATGTGCCAAATTTGAATGAAAACTGACAGAGCACGTCCAAGATACTGCATAAAAAAACAAAAACAAGATACCTGCCAGTCGACCATCTTTGATCCAATTGCAAAATAAATCGTCATGGAAATGTATCCTAACATGTATAATCTATGTA